AGAAGAAAGAAAGAAAGAAAGAAAGAAAGAAAGAAAGAAAGAAGCTAATATTTTTTTTTTTAATAAGACAAAAAAGATGCAAACCATTTCACAAGTTGTAAAATGAGGGGATCCCTCCCTGTCACTAATTCGCGGACGAATCCGCTACTGGGGAGTGTTACAAGAGAGGGCAGTGTGTGAGTAGTATATCCACACACCCTTCTATCCTTTTAATCCGAATATAAAAGGACATACTTTTGCGAGCGAAGAGCGCCTATATTTTATAGGCGGGGACCTCCGAGACTAACCGAGATGAGTTTTTTACGATGTTTTTTGTTTTTATAACTTATAAATATTTTCCAGATCATGGCGCCCTTCGTTTTTTCAGTTTTGAGACAGTTTTGCGGCAAAAAGCTAAATTTCTTTATTTCGCCGATCGCTTTTTTAGGCCGACGCTTCTGTCTCTGGAATTTTAGAAAATCCGCCAGGTTTGTTTTCAAGTCATACTTCCGTTCGATACTATCGCGCACTGTCGCGCAATACTGAGCACTATGTTAAGTGTGCTACCCGTATAGATCTAGCCTCATGTTTTCTTTTTTTTTTACTTGGTGCTAAATTCGACTGTGATCCTTTCGTTTGATGCCCATCATCGCTTTTTCTGGACTCCTTTGTCAAATTCTTTTTCTTGCTACGTGGAACAATCAAAACGCTTCTGTCTCAATCCGTTTATCGAACGGGGGCCCAGCAAGTATAATATAAATCCCAAAAGTGCTATATATAAGTGTGCACGTTAAAGATATCTTGATGGTTGTTAAATCGATGAGAACAGGCTTCGGCTGCCACCTGGGCAACATTCAAAATTAATCCCTCTCAAAACTGAAAAAGCTTAAATTGCTCATATGACCTTATGCGATTGCGAGCGCCATTAAAACTCTTACTATACAATGTCGAATATCTCCGTCTGTCTGTTTGTATGTTGTATACCTGTTAGTACAGGTTAGCAGTGAGAGTATGAAAGTCATTTTTCTAAATGGAGTACGTGTCTGTCTGTTGGTATGTCGTATAACCCTCCGTGCAAGTCTGTCGTCTTGTGACCAAAAAAAAAAACCCAACCAAAAACGTATATTAAGTGTAACTATGTCAAGTAGCGTTATAATACTGGGTAGAAATCCCTTTTTATGGCGGGTCTTTCTGTCTTGTTTTTATGGATGTACAATTAAAATTACCGAAGTTTTACGCTTTCGAAAATGTGTTCTAACCTAATTACATATCGGTATTGTTATGACAAAAGAAATTTTAATCAATTACTCCATACCTCAGCAAATCAGACAAAAGTTATACTGGTCAATAAATATCGACATAAAATAATTAAATCGACCAAATTTTAGTAAGGTTAAAAAACAATTATAAAGTTAGGGTTTTGCCTCTCCTGTAAAATTTCATTTCTGGCATATACGTTTTTCTGTCATAAGACGGAAGAGGTTAGCTGTGAGCGTATGAAGATCATTTTTTTTAAAATCGATGTGTCTGTCAGTCTGTCATGGTTTTGTTGTATCACTCTCAGTACAGGTTAGCTGTGAGAGTATGAAGATAATTAAAATCTTTCTAAATCGATTTGTCTATCAGTCTGTCATGGTTTGTTGTATCACTCTCAATACAGGTTAGCTGTGAGAGAATAACGATCATTAAAATTTTTCTAAATCGATGTGTCTGTCAGTCCGGTTGTTTGTTGTATGATTTGTTTCCCTTTCAGAGTGGGTTAGTCCTGACAGGGTTTGGGAATTCCTGTTAAGCTTTGTAGTTTGTTTGTTTTTTTTTTGTTGTTGGGGGCTTTTTTAATCAAGTACCTGCAAACTGTTTTGTCCAGGGTACCATAGACTCAGGCGGGCCCAAAAGAGTGGTAGATATCGCCAATGAAGGAGGAAGATTCAAGATGTTCAAGTAAGTTATCCCGCAAGGAATCCTCTGCCAAATTGTGTCATAACGCGGGGTATAGTTTGGTTTTTGATAATTTTTCTATTTGTATGTTCTTATTTATTTATATTTTTTTTCATTCATTCATTCACTCATTCATTCATTCATTCATTTATTCATTTTTTAAAACTTTTTGGAGGGGGGGG